GTAAAAGAGGTTTTTACCACCGGCTGTGGTGTGCCAATCACGGTCAGGACCTGTCACGAGCTATGAAATCCTGGGCTTGCAACAGGTGACAATAATCTGATGTGATATCCTTATGTCTTTAAGACGTAGACTTAACGAATGCCCTTCCCCCAGTATGTCCAGATTGAATTGGCTGTAACTAGCCATCGAACGAGACGTACTTCGAAAAAGTTTCATGCAAATGAGGTGGTGGTGGTTGAATATGGTTTTTCTCATCTATACGGATAGAGGCAAGAAAACCGACGTTTTGGACAGTATCTATATGGTGTGGTTCCGCCGAAGGAGGCACCACCATTCTGCTGAAACAACGACCTCGCCTGCTAAGAATAAGCATCCTCCACCAGCACGGTCAGCCGTCATTCCGTTTAACTCAGCAGCATTGCGGCTTTTATTTCATTACCGCACCGAAGCCGTACGGTCTGGCCTTGAGCAGAGGTTGGCACACTGTATTCTGCAACTGTGACACTTACTGTGGATGCCTTATATGGCAGTTCAACTATTGCATTGACCTTGTCGCTGTTGTTTTGTCATCGTCATCTGAGGTTAACAGAACTTACGTAGTGATGTAACCAAATTTATGATGCCTGCCCGTTTAAAATTGAAGAATGGTCAGTCGGGTCACACTTCTTATGGTAGAGGTGGTTGAACTACCCTATGGATGTAAACCGCTTATCGCACAGACGATGTGAGTTGTTGACTTCGGAATGCCCACCAACGTATGAACTTCATAGCCTCTCTGATTTTCCTAATGCCTGTGTGATTGCCGTTCGATAAACCGACTGTGACGGTTTCCTTCAGTCGTCCTCAGGCAGGCAGACATAGAGATAGAGGGCAGAGATACCCCCAGTCTGGTGCAAAGTCCTTCAGTACACTTGCTTCAGGTTATTCTTGGCCGTGTCATAGATCTTCTTCCGGCCGGTTTGGCAAATACTAGTTTTTTCGCTTTTCTTTCAGGAAGCATTCGCAACACGTATCCAAATCTTAGTAGTTGTGACTTAAATCTAAAGAAACTGCTGGTTGTTCATTCTCAATCTACTGTAATTTACGGCTATGCATTTTACTTCAATTTGCGCTCATTTTTATCTGTGCCTGAGGCGAGGTTCTTGGGCTAAAAATAGTTAATTTTTAAAGCACTTGCATGAACGATTTCCAAAACTGTTACCGGTGCCACGCCGTGGACGACTGAATATCGCTGATTCGAGGGTTAGCGACACGAGGAAGTACAGATTGAATTTATTTAAAGTACCAACGTTTCCATTGTCGACGACTGACCTCAGATCGATCCTCGGCAGGGATCGAAATGTA